CCGGAGGAAGGAGATATATGGAAGAATTGCTTGGGGGTGCAGGGAGAGAGAATGAGGCTGGTGAGCTCCAAGTTTTTCTTCTTTTTGACACTCTGGTGAGATCCAAGTGAAAAAACAAGCCAGTGAAGCATGCATTTCTTGTTTTGAACTGTAGTGACGCATGCTTTTATGGTTGAAGGAACGTTCCTTTGATCGTCATAAACAACTATCCATTGAAAGTGTACAATATATTGAAAATCGCTTTCCACAAATCGCATGGACATTTTAGCTCATATACAAGATCATTTATCTTGACCTTATGAAGGAAAATATTGCGAATTGAAGGAATATTTTGTCAAATGAAAACTGAAGTTATTAACTTTGATTTCTCTTGGCATGAGAAGTAATGTTAATCATGTAGTATAATTGAACGACAACAAAAGAATGGTTTTTCGGATAAATGTGGGATCACAGAATTTCGCCATCTTCTAATGAACCAGCGGTGTTCATGCCTATTTCATGGAAATAAGCACTAACACACCTAATGACATTACAATCAAGTCTTGCATTGGAGAACAAATAGTAGACAAAAGGCATACAAATCTGAACGGAAGGAGTGACGTGCTACAGAATTCACAACAACATAAAAATAGATAAGAATCATGTAACATAATCAACCTAAACAAAGGTAAGAACAAGAACGGATGCTGCATGCATTCCTTTTATAGCACCATGTCGATCTTGGAGGGAAAACGCCTGTAGAAGTTGATGAGCATGTTGGACCTGCTCCGGAACCATGGTGAGCGGAGGAAGTACAACCCCATCACTATGGCCACCACTCGGAATGGCATCAAGTACAGTACGATGGCCACCATCAGGCAGAGGGTGATGAAGATGGGAGTTGCCCTGGTGTCGTGCCAGCTGAGCAGCGACTGAATGCGCTCCACCTCTGTAGCCAGGTCGCCCATCACGGTCTGCACCCGGCCGGCAATGCTCCTCAGTCGATCATACCTCATCCGCACGATGTACTCGTCCAGCTTAGACGTATTGAACTCCTCGTTCAGCTCGCCTGGGTACACCTGATCAAGGTACGATAACACCGTGTCCATGTATGGTGGCGGCAGCATGTCGAACTCCTCGTCCAACTCGTCCGGGTGTGCCACTTCCGCGTATGACACCCTCGTGTCCATGTGCGGCGGCACCCGTGGCCGGCAGCGGTAGTTCCACGCCGCGATCATGATCATGCACAGGAACACCATCGGAAGGATCAACTCCGAGTAGCACACCAATGTCAGGAACACCACGTGAACCAAGATCGTGATAAGCGGATTCTTCCACTTGCAGATGCCGTCTAAGCACTTCCCAACGGCGATGACGGCGGAGAAGACGGACATGAGCCGGAAGAAGTTGGCCTTGAGCCGGCGCAGGCTGAACATGTGGGAGTCGACGTCGAGCATGTACTCCACCACCTCCTTCCGCAGGGGCGGCTCGGCCCGCTCCAACTGCTTCGCCACCATCTGCACCGCCTGGAACCGTAGGTAGTCCTGCTGTCCCGCGGGGATAGGGTTGCTGTAGTTCATCCTATGGAGCAGCGGTTTGCCGTACATGGCCAGCATTTTGGGCCACGACTTGCAGGTGAAGCGAACGCCAAGCTGGAGCTCCCCCATCTTTTTCACGCCTGCCGGTTGCAGTGCTATCAATGGGTAGAATTGCGTGTACACGCGGTTGGTCTCCAGGATGGTGAGGCGGATACGTGTCTTGCCGATCTGCTGGTCCCTGGCATCATGCCGGCCGTGGGAGGAGGAGAAGAGGTGGCAGTCGTCGAAAACGGCGATGGTGACGACCGTGCTGAGATCGAACACGTCCCAGGTGAACACCGCGTTCCACCGCGGCTCGAGGGTGTTGAGCAGCGTGTTTGTGCGCACCCACTTCTCGCCGTACTTGACGATGCAGTAAGGGTCCGTGAGCTGCTGCCCTTCCTTGTCCTTCATTGGCACCAGGCCACGCGCGCCCAGGATGGCCAACTCCAGGATGCCAATGGCGCTCTTGCGGAGCTCCTTCACCCACAATGAAAAAATAAATAGAAATAGATGTGTTGGATAATACTACTATTGTTTATCAAAATTGAATAAGCAAAATAACATTGGACTACAAGTTAAAAAAAACAAGAGTAAAAAACATGAAACCATCACTATTACGGGTCATTAGCGGTTACCATCACTTTTCAAAAAATTAGACAAAAAACAACGAATGCAACGCTAAACTTTTACAGCAAGCACCGGTAGCTCGTTGAGCGCTCTTTGATGTCTTTCTGACTGGTGGGGCCACTCATGGGGTTGAGTTGGCATTAAAGAGTGCCACATGGTTTTTAGAGAGAGGAGATAGGAGAAGAGGACTAGGACAACAATGCCCGCGTGGTAAATTATATACATTTTTTGAAAAGTTTAGCGTTGCTTTTGGCGTTCTTTTGTCTAATTTTTTAAAGTGATGGTATAATGCTAATGACACCGCAATAGTGGTGATTTTATTGTTTTTACTACCAAAAAAGATTACGCTATCATACCTAGTTATCCAACTACTATTCAGAAAAATGCCACTGCAATTTACAAACTCGTGGCATTTTTCTGAATCGTCATAATTGGAGTGGCATTTGTCTAATGAACCCTCTCTCTCTAATCCACATTAATTGTTGTACTAAGTGTGCGTCAATTAATTTGAATCGGAGGAGGGAGAAATATACTTTGTTTGCGACATACATAAAGGACGAAAATGGTAATGAATACTAATGTCAATAGAAACCAAGTTTCAAGGATTTGCCCACGATTCAGCCGCAACTTAAGAAAGAAATGAGAGTGGAGGTGTGCGGGTGTGTGACTGTGTGTGCTAATCACAAGACGACAGGTCAGGTCAGCACGTGGTACTCCGTCTCAAGGCTCAGCCTCAGCTGGATCTTGCTGGTGACCTCCATCGTCATCCCCCGGCCCAGGTTGAACCACTGAGAGTTGGAGGGCATCGACTTGGCCACGGGGATGGCCACAGAGCCGATTGGCTCGTCATGGCCGGCGGCGACGTGCTCCTCCAGCGTCACCACCAGTGGGTCCTCCAACGGCTCGCTGGCAACAAACATGAACTCCTCGTTCCATGTCGGGTTCGCAGACCCCTGCGGCTTTGTGCGCCTGATCTGGCTGCCCAACTGTATCTTGGCGATGGTGGGCGCTAGCGGTTGCGCCTTCTCGCCTGGAATAAGGTTTTGAGCCGAGATGGCCACGACCTTGAGGTACATGAGCTTAGGGGAGTAGTACACGCTGAAGCGTGTGCCCTTGGTGAGCCCCTCCCGGAAGAGAGAGTGCGCTTCCGAGGGCCATGCCTTTGTGACGGTCTTGTCTGACTTTGCCACAGGACCCGTTGTAGGAGGGCCATCGGGGCACGGCATGACGGCCGCTTCACCAGTCAACAGATGCACACCATCCCCAGTGGCTGGTGCTAAGCCGAACCACCCTCTAGGATCATCGGTGTTGCTCTTCCCCTTGGATTCCGTCGGTGTCATCCCTGAGGTAGAAGAGGCAACCTCCCCTACCTGGACACCGGCAGGGGCGGAGTCATGCGTGCGTTAGTTTTTCTTATATATAAATACTAGTATATGAGTTGACAGCATGGGAAACAAAAAGTAAGACATTAATAATTCAGAACGCTTATATGTATTAGTTTCTTTTTTACATGTTCCTATCAAAGATATTATACCAAAAATGAGTAATTCCGACATAATATTTAAAATCTGATAACGGGACACTCTAGCAATCTCTTCAGCGATAATAAAGGAATACTCGCAAAAAAAAAAAGCAATAATAAAGGAATACAAAGTACATACATATAGAACTCCTAAAGAAAAATAGCTTGCTGTATTTTATTTTGGTTGAAACTAAGCAGGGCCCTCCAATTCAAAACATAAGCAGTTTAGTATACTGACAGGTTGCTAAAAGTGGATTATAAAATTACTAGTATTATGAACTAGTTGTAGTATGTCGAAAAGGGTTCTAGCTAGTGTCAAAACAGGAATGTGCAACGAAGGGAATTACTCTCAGGGGACTCATGGCGCTGCTCCTCGAGCAACAAAGTCCATATTCTACCAGTTCAAATGGATTTATTGCAAGAGGTGTCTAAGCAAGATAGATATTTATAAACTCTCAAAATTTGAACATACCTGGATACTCTCCAATTCGTGAAGCCTGTCAAGTATATCACGTGCACTAGCTGGTCTCTTTTTTGGATTGAAGTCTCTGCATTCTAAAGCTATCTTGTAGCATACTCGTATTTGTTCTGATAGTGTGTCTCGCTGTGATCTCTCCAGCCTATCACTCCAACTTTCAAGTACCTACAAAATAGCATCGGTGGGTTATGGTTCATGAAATGGATCAACATCTTTCTATACAGGAATAACATGCATAGTATATAGTGACCACACACATTCAAGGATCAAACTAAGAACAAAAATTCTGTAAAAAAAAATAGACAGTGTCCCAATAAATTCAAGTCAGATCAATCATAATGTCAATTGCAATTTCATAAATGAAGCATCAAACCGATGAAATTTTCTCTAAATGCATTTCAGTTGTGTTGATTCTTTTGCAGCTAAAACTGTGCTTTCCACTACTAGAGGCCACTTCTTCCGGGGCTTCTGGCAAATTGTGCAAATAAGATGCCCCCTCCCCAGCTTATTCTAAAATCCCCAAAAGAACTAGCCCTAGATATGATTTCACAAATGATATTGTGCTACATCTACAACCACAATCTAATAAGAATATGCGAAGTAAAAGAGTGACAATTTTTTCTAAGTCCATCCTTCTTAGCTATAAGGAAAATTGAGCTTTTATATGTAACAATGACATATATTGTTCTTACATCCTCGGTCGCTTGATAGCCCTTCTGTCCGGTCAGTACTTCTATGATGATAACACCAAGACTATACAAGTCATCGCTGCGTGCAATTACACCCCCTTCACGAAGTTCTGGTGCCAAATATCCCCTTTAGGAAAATATAAAAGTTCTGGTTTGTTAATGTACAAAGATAGTGCAATTTAAATCACAAAACACAAAAGGCAGATATTTCAAGAGAAGTTGCTAGCTTACATTGTTCCTAAGATAGTTTTGGTAATATCCCGGCTTTGATTTTCGTTGAAGCATCTTGATAAGCCAAAATCAGTGATTTTCGGCACCATGTTGTCATCAAGCAATATATTGGCCGGTTTAAGATCCAAGTGAATAATATGCTTCTCATGAAGGTACTGTAGACCCTCACAAATCCCTTTAATTATTTTATAGCATGTTGTCCACTCACGATTTGCATCTATAAATTGGAGAGAAGAATTCTCAAGTTTATGATTTGAGATACATTATGCATTAAATTTTGGATACTACTCCCTCCGTCCCAAAATAAGTGTCTCGGTTTTGTACTAACTTTAGACGGGGGGAGTAGATGTTATATGGCACATTATGCAATTAGTAGTACATGAAGTAAAAATATAGAGAAAAGTTACGAGGCCACATCTCCATGGTCATACCCATGATATACTTATCAAGACCCCCTTTAGGTATATACTCGAAGCAAAGCAATCTTTGTCGCACATCTGCCATGACAAGTTCTCCGTCGTACCGTTTCATGCTTCCTTGGGTGTCAGCACAATATCCCAGAAATCTTACAACATTTTTGTGCGTTACCCGCATCAGGCATCGAACCTCTCTATGAAATTCTCTTTCATGCATATAAGCTTTGGACAGCCTCTTCACGGCGATCGCCCTATCGCCAAGTATTCCCTGCCACCCACAGTGTTAGCATCGGTTTTATAGTTTTCAAATGAAGCGTGAGTTAGATTGGAATGTATACCTTATAAACCACTGCAAATCCACCACGTCCAATCTCCTGCTCATTAGAGAAATCATCTGTGATTTCCTCCAAAAGTGATAGTGGTAGGGCCTTGGGCAGTGCGGTTTCATCGACTAACATCTGCTCCAGGTCACTTCGCGCAGTGCTAGCTTTGTGTTCCATTTGCAGTCACTATATATGTAATTAACCTGGAAACAAGAGCAAACCCGTTATGTATGTATGAGCCCAGTATATGGACCCAGTTACTTAGCTAACTAGTGAAGTAATATCGATACATACATGTAGTGCTGGACAAATTAAGTTACTGACCTATTATGCAAAATACTAACTTTGATTTTGTCCCTCCCTTTCCTTTTTATTATCAAGGACAAGGACCAGCCACCATAACCGATATATTAATAAAAGACATAGGGTCTGTTTGGTTAGTGGCCTCAGCGTGGTGCCTGGGAAAAGAGGCTGTCTGATTTGAGCCTGGCACTTCATTGTTTTGTGCCTGGTGATAGCGGTGGCACGTATGGACTTGTCTTCACCCTTGAAAACAAGGCTATGGTAGGATTATCAGCTGCGGCAAAGTAAGCACGCTACTGTTCTGCATACTTGGACCAAAACACCCTGAAAACCAGAAAATCCTATATATTTGCAGACGACCTCATGGCCGGATTTCCACTATCATTAGGAACAAAATACAGTTCAATCACCCCGGTGTAACGAAACTAAAAGTTACAGCTAGGCTAGAAGTTTAGGCCGCACTAATAAGCTAACCCCAACATTTTTACAACCAATGTGCAGATCCACGACAAGCATCGGCAGCAAACCACCATATCAAGAAAAAACCAGCTGCACCAAACTTGGTGTTTTCCGCCCAAGATCTAAGCACTCGGACCTTGACAGCAAAGACATTAAACCAGAAAAACAGAGTATTTCTTAGGGTTTGCACCCACTTGAATAAGCAGCAACCCCCAGCCACTGCAGAATGGTAATAAGTAAATGGGCGGAGGTCCCCATCTACAAGAGCAAGCCAACCTACATACATATATAAATCTGAGACAAGATCTACTACTTTACCTGGACAGATTTTTCCCAGTGAAGGCGATGGTGCTTCAGATTTACTACTACCTGCCTAGTGGAGGAGAAGGGGAGTGAGGAGGAGGGGATGTGATATCAGCTGGTCAACAGTCACTCTGGGAGAAGTGGATGCAATAATGAGCTAGCAGCCAGATGAACATGTGGCTGGGAGGACCCCGCGGCTGGCTCGGAATAGTAACGGTACACTGGGGCTGCTAGCGCTCGGAGGCCGAACAACAGTCTTCGACTGAACCCGATTAAGGGCGAGTTCTTTTGCCCAACGCCCCGACCTAAACGGACGCGCGCCCGCTTTTCGTCCGTCTGTCGATCCATTTTTGGCCTAATTTTAAGTCTCATTTGCGTCGGCGCGGATATAAAATGGACACGCGCCGCACCCGCCTACTCCTCCCTTGGCCCGCTAGTCGGTGGCACACAGGTCATCCTCTCCCATTCCAACGGCAAACCCTCGCTCGCCTCCTTCATCGTCGCCGCCGCCGCCCATTTTTCCGATTCCTCTGCCAACTGCCGGTGCCGCAACATCCCCCCTACAACGCCGCCACCTCCCACGTCGTCGCCACCGCCGTCTTGCCGCCGGGGATCCGAAAGCTTCCCACCCTCACTCCCCGACACAGCCGCGACCAACAAGCCGCCTCGCCGCCCGGCCAGCTCCTTCGTCCTGACACCGGCATGCTCGTCGGACGCCGGCACGCTCATCAGACGCCGGCAGGGCACCTAGCTGGTCCAAGGGCGGCGCGACTCCCTTCGCCGGCCGGCTCCTTCGTCGACGCCCGCAAACTGTTCGATAATTTGCCAAGGTACAAAATGGACTCCGCCGACGAGTTCTTTTTTCACAATTTCCTTTGCGACTTCGACGATTCCTCGTCCGACGATGAGGAGGTCTTGGTTGCCGTGTTGGTCCATCACCACCTCAATAGCCAGCGACCGTTGTTCCGTGGATCCATTCGGGGCACCTTCCGGCGTTGAATCGCAACCGAGAGTGCGGACATTTCCTTCTTTGGAATGACTAATTTGACACAACAAACATGTTGTTCAAACATCAGAAATTCCGCCGCTGTTTCCATATGAGTAGGCTTCTTTTCAACCGTATTAGAGAGGGGGTGGTCGCCTACGATGACTACTTCGAGTGCAAATAGGATGCCCTTGGAAAGATTGGCTTCTCTCTTATCAGAAATGCACTGCAGCCATCTGAATGCTTGCATACAGAGTGTGAGGGAGTCCTGGATTAGGGGGTATCCGGACAGCCGGACTGTATACATCGTCCGGACTATTGAAGCATGAAGATACAAGACTCAAGACTTCGGCCCGTGTCCGGATGGGACTCTCCTTTGCGTGGAAGACAAGCTTGGCGATCCGCATATTATATTTCCTTCCTTGTAACCGACTCCATGTAAACCCTAGCCCTCTCCGGTGTCTATATAAACCGGAGAGGATGGTCCTTAGAAGGCCGATCACAATTACAATCATACCATCATAGGCTAGCTCTTAGGGTTTAGCCTCTACGATCTCGTGGTAGATCTACTCTTGTACTACTCATATCTTCAATATTAATCAAGCAGGAAGTAGGGCTTTACCTCCATCGAGAGGGCCCGAACCTGGGTAAACATTGTGTCCCTTGCTTCCTGTTACCATCAGCCTAAGACGCACAGATCGGGACCCCCTATCTGAGATCCGTCGGTTTTGACACCGACAAAGTGCACGCTGATCTCATTGACGTACGAGTACGTCCGTATGAGCGAGTCTACATGCCTAAACTCTCTGTACAACTTTTGCAAAGCTGTTATTGATGTGTTTGGCCCTGAGTATTTGAGAGAGCCGACTTCTCAAGATACAGCCCGCTTGTTCGTGATGAACGCCAACAGGGGCTTCCCAGGGATGCTTGGCAGCATAGACTGCATGCACTGGGAGTGGGAGAACTGCCCTTCTGCTTGACAAGGGCAGTATAAGGGCCATGTCAGGGCTCGCACCATCATACTTGAGGCCGTGGCATCTCAAGATCTCTGGATCTGGCACTCTTTCTTTGGCATGGCCGGATCACACAATGATATCAACGTGCTTCAGCGCTTGCCGGTGTTTGCTATGCTTGCCGAAGGCAATAGCCCACCGATGAATGTTACCATCAACAGCCACAACTACGACAAAGGATACTACCTAGGTGACGGTATCTATCCTCAGTGGACCACTATTGAGAAGACAATCCCTAACCCTGACGGGGAGAAGAGGAAAAGATTTTCTCAAGAGCAAGAGAGTGCTAGGAAGGACGTCGAGCGTGCCTTTGGTGTTTGGCAATCTCGATGGGGCATCGTTAGGTATCCTACTAAGATTTGGAGCACGAAGAAACTGTGAGAGGTGATGACTACTTGTGTGATCATGCACAATATGACCGTAGAAGATGAGCGCCCGAAACGTCTCTACGATCAAGGATTTCAGTTTCAGTGTGAGAATGTTGTGCCTGAACGTGGAGGAGCGGCAACGTTTGAACAGTTCACCCAGTTTCATCATACATGCGTGATTGGAAACTCACACGCAACTGTAAAATGATTTGGTTGAGCATATGTGAGCTCATGTTGGCAACCAATAGATGTATCTTTTTTATTTGGCTTGTAAAACTATGTAAGACTGTTTAATTTTTATTCGACTTGTAAAACTATGCTATTTATTTGGTTGTGGACTATATGTTTACATGTGAAATAATGCAAAATTTGTGCTATTTGTTGAAAAAGGGCGGTCAGCCGGTCACGCCGACATATATGGGTCGGCTGTTTGGGCGCACTGCTAACCCAAATCTCGAAAAGGGCGGACGCCTAGCGGATGGTCGATCCAAACAGACAAAAGATGGACAAAAACGCCGTTCATTTAGATCGGCGCGTTGAAGTTGCTCTAGAGCATCTTAAATAACAACCTTTTCTTGGGCACGAGAGGGCAAAAAGACCTCCAACAGCTGTTCAATAGCAACCTATTTTTGGGCACGAGAGGGCAAAAAGGCCCACATCCTCCTCCCTCCTCTGCATGCTGCATCGTTGGCTGTCGTCGACGCAGGCAGCTAGCAGCGACCTGCGTACGTAGCTATCGCCTATCGGTGCTGACGTTTTACCATTCCGATTCCAATCACACAAGGATGCCAAATTCCAGTCACACACAGCAAGTTTTTATCAAAAATAAATTGAAGCACTCAAGTTGCCATGCTTAAACTTGTCATATTCGTGTAACTAAACTTGCCATCGAAAACGTTTGGAGCTGTCATGTTCTTGTACCAGCTCTATATACCACCCCCCTCCCCCCCAAGAACATTGTATTAACGAACCGTTGTAAGTATTACAAAGAGTTTGAAGCATGCACATTTGTAATCCAAGAAGAGCTTTCCTCTAAAACAGTGTGTGGTTTCCATAGGAGATTCTTGAACTCTGTCAAAGAGAGGATCCTAAATTTCTTCCAAGACTTCCATCTACTTAGCACCAATACAAAATGGTCAAACATACTCCTATCGCCCGACTTCTCTACAAATTGGCTCATTAAAGTTGTCGCAAAAGTACTTACCCACCGGCTAAACCGTTCATTGCACTAACTTATCAGGCCGGCTTTATCTCTGTCGAAACATTGCACAAAACTTTCTGTATGCGGCTGATATAGTTTCCTCCCGTCACACCAAACAAGTGCCCACTATGGTAATGAAGTTAAGACTTGCACAAGGCCTTCGACTTCATCTGTTGGTCATCCTAGCCGCCATCCTAGCTCACTATGGCTTCCCAGCTCTTTTTATTCCCGGATAAGCTTACTAATAACTAGAAAAACAGTCGTTCTTCTAAATGGTGTCCCCTACAAACCGTCACTTTCTTGTTGATGCCTCGATCTGGAACATCTAGGATGGTCTACAAACTGCTTGCATAAATCTATTCCTTGATGGTTTAAATACACAAATGTCCTCTGAATCAATTAACACACAACTTGTGATGACGCTTTATTTGGAAAATGTTGTTGTCCTGGTTATTGCTAGTAATTGTGCACATGTAACGCACGTCCAAATCAATCATATATTGTCTTTACATTGTTTTCTCACGCCGGTGACTCTCTCCTTTCTT